GTTCCCAGGGTGAGGAACAAGTCCTACTCGCCCTTCCCTGTTAGGTACAGCTGCTCTCACCTTGACATGGTTGAAACTCTCTCCTCACAGCAAATAGATGTTCATCACAATCACCTGTACTTGCTTCACGTGCAGCTTTTACGTCACGGAGAAGGCTCCCAGCCTTTTCTTGAACCAAAGTCAGGCGAACAAAGAACGGCAGGCACCTGTTCCGACTTAGCTTCGGATTTGACGTAACAAAGTTACACTGAGGGTAAGGTGACCCGACTTTAACATTGGTAAAGCGGGACACCATTGATAAAACTCCTATCCTGGCGAAATAGCCACATGGCAGCCGCAAACCGTATACCCTTGCTTGTCGTGCATTCTTTCCAAAAATCGGGACTTTTTAAAAAACGCTGTGGGACGCGGGAAAAATTGTTCAAAAGCGGGACTGTCTCACCAAAAGCGGGACGTCTGGTCACCTTAACTTAGGGACAGATCTCATTTGTCACCCTGGCTGCCTGTCTTTCCACGAACCCAGAAGAAAAGGGTAGGGAATATGCCCACGATGCGAATGAGAGTGAGGTGGAGGGTGGAAACGGGGTGCTTAGTGAAGGTCTTTCTGTGAAGTAGCCAGTCTTGGGGAAGCTTCAGGAAAACGCAAGTGCAGAACTCCTGGACGCACCCCAGCGAAGCCGACTGAGTCCATCAAATGAGTTGTCAGGTCCCTGGAGTGGGGACCTGGTGGGTTCTGGGGTGTGGTTTCTCGGCGCTGCACCTTTCCAAGAGACAAACAGACAACACAACCAGTTGCCTCTGTGCTGGAACTGTGCTCCTTTGGGTTTCTGGGATGCAGCCATTGGGCAGCACACTGCCAGGCCTTTCTTCCAAGGTCCCTCTGGGTGGGTTCAAACCACCAACTTTTCAGGTAGTAGCTGAGTGCTTAGCTATTTATGCCACCCAGGGACCCACCTGAAATGCTCTCTAGAACCATATGAAGGAAGAGCCTTCCTAGGCCCCGCCCCAGGAGATTCTGAGTGAGCAAAGAGGGGGGAAGTGGAAGCGAGGAACAGGGGGGCAGGGAGCAACATGCCCGACAAGTGTTGCTTGTTCTAATTCACCTGTCCTGCCACCACCCTGTTCCGGCAGATGGTGACAGGGGACTAATGACTAGAATTCCAGCTTCCACCTCATTTTTATCCCATTAACTGGACACTGATGATTGGATCAAGGCTCATGCCAGATTGAAGCATCAGAGAAGCTGGTGTAGGAGCAGACCTTTGGGATGATGTAGCACCAACGAGGGACACAGAGATGCCACACGCTGCTCTGAAGGCAACTCGGCAAGTTACATCCATCCCAGGGCCTGGGCCCAAGGGCAGCTGAATGCCCAAAGTTCCACTCCGTGCGGAATGGCTTCTACAGTTTTTGCCTGGACAGAAAACAAAAAGCCTAAGGAAAATATCAGTAAATGATCCATTAGAGAGCTCCGGAGGCAAAGTGGGCCATGGGTTGGGCTGCTAACCACAGAGTCAGCGGTTCAAGACCATTAGCCACCTTGCAGGAGAAAGATAAGGCTTTCTATTCCTGCAAAGATGCAAGCTTGGAAACCCACAGGAGCAGATCCACCCACTGTTTCGGGCTTGAAATGGAGTAGCTGGCCAGGGGCTTGGTGAGTTTAAAGGCCCATGAAGTGCCTGCCTTTGCTTAATAGTCTTCGAGACAAATCCCCAAAGTCTAATGATGTGCTTATTCGTAGACCCGACAGCAGGGGAATGCTTTGGACAGGTAATAACTTACACCTACCCCTTTTAATGGCAATGATGAAATGGGGGGGGAACACTCTATAGTCAGGACTCTCACTCAATCACTGTCATCTAGTTGAGTCTTGCTCAGAGCAACCCTATAGGGCAGCGGCTCTCAACCTGGGGGTCGAACGACCCTTTCACAGGGGTCGCCTGATTCATCACAGTAGCAAAATGACAGTGACGAAGTAGCAACGACAATAATTTTATGGTTGGGGGGGTCACCACCACCACGTGAGGAACTGTATGGAAGGGTCTCTGCATGAGGAAGGTTGAGAACCCCTATTCTAGAAGAAGGACGTTCTTATTAGTTTGAAAGAATTAAAAGATACCATCTGCATAGTAGAATAAAAGGGTTTATCTTTTTTTATTATTTTTAATCAGAGGCTGGTGGTGACAGCAGCATCTCTCTAGCACATATTAAGTAGCCACTTAGCATTGGGCTGATTGTAGATGTCTGCTTCCTTCAAGCTCATGTCTGCCACTACTAGCAGGAAGCAGGGGCCTAGATGCCATGCCCCTGACCTTCTCCAGCGTCTCGGTAGTGGAAGAGGACCCTCACTGAGTGTGTTTAGCACGGATTTCAGACATTTTCCACAAAAGTAAAACTCTGGGCACCTGGTCCACTAGGGGGTTACATTGCTTGCTGCACAAATGCATTCGTCTGGAAAGTTCTTTAAAGTGTAAGCAAGCGTTTAACCCTGTGCACATAATCACACACACCTAGGGCTGTGACTGCTGACCACCTGAGGCAAAGAGAGCCAGTGTCTAAAGCTCCTGCCCACATGCACAGCGTGAATGAAGCAGGAGGGTGCTGTTCATACATTCGAGTGAGGAGGAGACTGTTGGACCAACTGAATAAACCAAAGGTAACTTGAAAGGTCAGGGACTAGCTGACGCTCACATGTAAACCGTGAGTCTCGCCCATTACGCCCCAAACCGAATTCCCTGCCATGGAGTGATTGCCGGCTCATAGTGACTCGGTTCCTGAAACTAACTGTTTACAGAAGAAAGCCCTATCTTTAGGGCCTTGACCTGAAGACTAGAATGCTCTCCAGTCAGTTTCAAAGGACAAAGGTCATGCCCCTTGTCAAGCCCCAGGTGAGACTCTCTAGTCTAATTGGGCAAAAAACATTACATTCAGGGGTGGTTAATGACCTGGAACTCCCTTAAGTACATTTTCTGGAAAATCAAGGGCAGAGAGGTCACGTAAAGTTCACTGCACTGCAGCTGCTGGTCTGAGTGGAAAGAACGGAGAATAAAGGGCCACGTAAAGTGATGCCACACATGGCAGGGCAGACATGCATGAGTTCAAATCCCTCTCCTGCCACTGCCTAGCAGCCTACTGTACGCACTCTACTCTCCCCGAGTCTCCGCTTATAATGGGAATAATAACAAGAAACTTTTGCCGTTCGTGCCTATTTGTGATGTACGCGCGGTAGGGGCTCCCAGGATCACCAGAGCGCTGATTGGATGCCACACGTTGCCCCCAGGTGTGCCCCACTCTGCTCCCGGTTTGGATTTGGCTTCCCAGAGGCCAGAGAGGATAGAGAATGTTTCTGAGCAGAGGCCCACCAAGAGGGACCTGCCGCCGCCTTCTTCTCAACCCACCTCCAAGGGCGTCCATCACACCTGGGATGCATGCCTGCATACACCAGCTGGGCTCAATAAAGCCACCTCCCACGTGGCTGTGCCTCGGCCGGGCAGGTATTGGGCTGGCCACTCAAACTTGCAGCTGCTTCCTTCCTCTTGGGCATCAGGACTCACAGACTCCAAAGCTCTATTTGATCCCTGGCATGGGGCAAAGCCATACCCACCTGCCAGCAGGGGCTGACTTCCAGAGGATTTCCAGGAAAAAGGAGTTGGGTGGCTGCAAGCCCAATCTTGTACTCTCCCACCTAGAGCTCCAGCTGTGTCTTCCTTCTGGCAGATTCTGGGGCAAAAGACACACACACACACATACCACCCCCTCTAAGGAAACCCTTCCCAGCATCTTCTGCTATTTGGAGCCAGGGCTACTTGTTGCTCCTTCTCTGGCGCTCCATGGGGCACCTGTTCACCTGAGGCAGAGCCACTGTGGGGTTAGAGGGGCCCTCCCCCTCCCCAAGGGAAGGGTCTCCTCCCAGACTGGGCGGGACCTGAGCGCAGATTTTGTTGCCAAGGAATGTTGTCCCCCTCCAGGTACCTGGCTCTTGGGAGTTCACCCACTTCCTTCCTGTCATCAGTGGGGGCGGGGTGTCGCGTCCTCACCCTCAGGGACTCTTCTCCAACCTGAGCCAGGAGCCGCCCCTGCCTTCCTCCAGGGAGGCTGAGAAACTTTCCCAGTGCCCAGCTCCCACCTGCCCTTCGGCCCCGCCCCGCGCTCACCCCCGCCGCTCCCAGGCTCGGATCGGAGCAGGGAGGAGGAGGTGAGTGGGGCAGGCTGGCCGCGCGGCCGGTCTCCCTTTCTCCCGGGAGGCCGGGGAGTGAAGCGTCCCCCGGGCTGTCTCCTGCATCCTTCCCCAGCGTCCCTGGTCCCTGCCTCTCCGCGGCCGGCCGCGCGCTGCCTCCTCTGGAAGGCGCTAGCAGCGGCCGCCAGCATTTGGAATTCTGCCCAAAAACAGGGGGCTTGGAGGAGGAGGAGAGGAGGGACGGAGGCCGGCAGTGAGACACGGAATCCGGAGTCCAAAACAGCACCGGGAGAGGAACGGAGCGGCGGCAGTGGCGGCTCGGAAGGCTCAGGGCGGCGGGGACCCACCGCAGTGCATCAGCGTGGCTGCCTGACATTCAGAGGATGCTTAACACGGGGCATTATGCACTGGTTAACAGGCTGCGAGCTGCCGAGCGACTTGTTTTAAGCATTTTCTCCCTCGCTCTCGCGTTTAATCTTGTCTCTCGTGGCGTGTGTAGGGGGGAGGACTTTATTGCCATTGGCTAAGCTCTCCCTTCCCACCCACATCTCTTCCACATCACCTTGGTGTCTCCCTAAATAAAACCAGCCCTCCTTATCGCCTGGAAGAAATCAGGAGCTAGAGTTTGAATGGGCTTTTTGAACACCCACCCCTGCCAGCGTGTGGCTGGGATCTCAGGATAAACTCACGACGGACGGACGGACGGAGGCGTCTTGGCCCTTCGCTGTGCCAGGCTGCCGGCCCGAGGAGGAGGACTAGCCTAGAGCCTCTTGCCTGGAATCCCAGCACCCTGAAGCCGGTGGCCGAGCTGCACGGGGTCCCGATGGACCTCAAGGAGAGCCCCAGCGAGGGCAGCCTGCAGCCCTCCAGCATCCAGCTCTTCGCCAACACCTCCACCCTCCACGGCCTCCGCCACATCTTTGTGTATGGCCCGCTGACCGTGCGGCGCGTGCTCTGGGCGGTGGCCTTTGTGGGCTCCCTGGCACTGCTGCTGGTGGAGAGTTCCGAGAGGGTCTCCTACTACTTCTCCTACCAGCATGTCACCAAGGTGGACGAGGTGGTGGCCCACAGCCTCGTCTTCCCGGCTGTCACCCTCTGCAACCTCAATGGCTTCCGCTTCTCCAGGCTCACCACCAACGACCTGTACCACGCCGGCGAGCTGCTGGCCCTGCTCGACGTCAACCTGCAGATCCAGGACCCCCATCTGGCTGACCCTGCGGTGCTGGAGGCCCTGAGGCAGAAGGCCAACTTCAAGCACTACAAACCCAAGCAGTTCAGCATGCTGGAGTTCCTGCACCGCGTGGGCCACGACCTGAAGGATATGATGCTCTACTGCAAGTTCAAAGGGCAGGAATGCGACCACCAAGACTTCACCACCGTGAGTAACCTGGCTTTGGGCTGGCTCCCGCGGCCGCCCCGCTGGTGGTGGTCTCTGGCTTGGTTGGGGTGGTCGCCGGTGAAGGCCGACAGGGTGAGGCCATGGTTGTTGGAGTTGGTGGTGGCAGGCCACCTGCTAGGATGGAGGAGGAGCGGCCGTGGCTGTGGGGGGTTCCCCCAGCCAAGGGGCTGACTTAGCTTCCTCCCAGATAGAGGGAGCAGGCCTGGACTGTCCCTTGTGCCGGGCACTCGGGTCCGAGTTGTATGATTGGATGAGGTGGCGCGCTGTCGCTTTCTTGTCTCTCGCTTCTGTCTACTCGGAAGTGGTATCAGGCACTGCATCCTGTGGGCTGGGCAGGAGCTCGAGCTGCCGGAGAAGGGGTGTGGGGGCCCCAGGCAGCTGGGAGGGCTCCGGAGTGGCTTTGGGAGCTTGTGGGAGCAGGTGATGCCGTAAAGGTGTGGACGTCTCCCTGCTTCTGTGTCTCCAGGCGCCTTTGAGCTCTATGTGTGGGGAGAGGAGAGGCCGGGGACCCCCAAGGCTCCATCTGGCCTGTTGATGGGCAGAGATGACCCTGGGGTTTGGGCTGAGCGAAGCGTGTGAATGTGCAGTGTGCGGGCACGTGTGCAGGGTAGCCAGCGAGATGCCTGTGCCGGTGAAGCAGTCAATCCCAGCTGGCTCCTCTGGGTGCTTCAGGTTGAAACTCACAGCCTCAGCTTGCTGTATGTACAATCACTTCCCAACGTGGATGCGCGGTGTGGGGAGGGGGCGAGCCGCTGGGGGATTGGAACGCCGCCAGCCACGGCCGCCGGAGGAGGGGAGTGGAGCTGAGTAGAAAGGGAAGGAACGTGGAGGGGGGCTGGTGCACCATCAGGGTGGGGCGTACTGGGGTGACAGACCACGGAGGAAGCACAGGAAGCTGTGCCTGCCAGGCTCCTCTCTGCCCGATCGGTGGGTTCATCGGCATAATAGGTCAGACAGCAGCAGCAGCCTCCTTACTGGGAGGACAGACATCCTCCTTACAGGGAGGCAAGTTCGGGGCATTGGGAGCTGTGGACCCCCCAGAAGACCAACGTGGCTGTTTCCATCCTGCCTTGGGGACTCGTGCGAGCTTTCCGTCCCAGAGCCGAGTCCTGAGCCAAGATGCAGTCGTAAGTTTGGGAAGGCAAGAGCACAGCAGTGGAGGGTCTGGCCTCTGTCGTCAGCGCTGGTCTGTGGTCTGCCTTCTGCCTAATGAAGACATGCATCCGTTCCCCGCCCCCTCTCAGCTCCACTGCCTTCAGCCTCTCAGCCTCTTGCTCCAATTTCTTTTCCTACTTCTCAGCCGGCAGCCTGGGTGCTTGTGGTTGGCCATGTCTAGCTCCGGAAAAGCCCGGAGTGTTGGCGACGGTGGTCTCCAGTATCCTGTGTGCTGGGGCTCTGGGGTCCGGAGGGGAGAGCTGTTTGGTATTATCCATGTTGAGCAGAGCAAACGCAGGGCTAGTGTGTGTCCAAGAGGAAGCCCATCTCAGCTGGGGGAAGGAACCGGCAGTTCTCAAAACCCCTCTAAATGGAGCAAACTGGATCCTAACACATGACACACACACACACACACACACACACACACACACACACACACACACACGCTTGGGGAGAGCAGGAGAAAATGCCTCATACCTCATGCCTGGAGACCGAGCCCATCCCTGGATCCCACCCCAGGCTCTGTAGCTCCGTGGCAACGCTCAGCTCCCAACTCCGCCATGCAGCCAGCTCCTGTCTGTGTTCAGCCCTTCCGCTGTCTGTCTGGATGCACACGGGGCAACAGGGTGGGTGAAGGCAGACCTCGGAGGGAGGGGCGGCACAGCAGGAAACTTTGAGAAGTAGCTGATCCTGCCAGGGCTCTCCCGTGGCCTCACGGGCACTTGTCCCTGGAACCCTGGCTTACCAGCTGGTCCGTGATTTGAAGTTGCTGAGGTCCCAGAAGGCAGAGGTCAGGTCTTAAGCTGTGCCAGAGCCTTGGACCTGTTCAGGTTGCCCCCCCTCCCCCCCAAATCATAAGAAGTGCCTGTGGATGATGGGTGTTTATGACTCACGGAGTGCAATGTCATTCATTATCTGTGATCCTCACCTAGTTTAAGGCTAAACAGTCTGGGGGTCCCCCTCTGTTTGGCCTCTGCCAAGGCACAAGAAGGGGGGAACGGCAGGGCCTGCACCTTTAAGCTGGAATGGGCCAGTCCAAAGGGTCGCCCCTCTTGGGGACGATAGAAGGGCACAGATGGGAGGCTGGGCTTGCTCACCAGGCGGTCCCAGGAGCAGCCATGCTCAGCCTCTGCCAAAGGTGACCCGATGGCAAGTTTGCAGGGAGAGTGGGGAGTTGCCTTTGCACTCGCTCTTGTTCTCCTGATGGCTCCAGGTGTATGCATGCTTATTGGGCCCCCACTCGCACCCCGGGAGAAACCAGAGAGCCTGGAGCTGGTTGTCGGAGAAGCCAGTTCGCCAGTCTTCTCCATTCATTCTCTCTGCCGGCATCCCTCTCCAGCCTGGCTTATTTACTAGGCGTCCCGCTTTTCTTTTCCGAGGGTGGTGGCTGGCTTGTTAGCGATGTTCAGGACGGGGGGCAGGGATGTCACAGGTGGACTGCGTCGTCTCTCTCTTTCTCTATAAAGCAATACTTGTAGAGTCTCCAGGGCTGATGCTTTAGCAAAGCTTCCTTCTTCCAAGTTCTTAGCTGGTGTGCAATGAAGTGCGTAATACCCTTTAATTAGTGCACGAGCCCTGATTCTAGCAGTCAGTGAAAGAAGGCTGTTTGTGGCGGGTGGAAAGTCCCCGGGAAGCCAGGTGTCGAATGCCGACTGGCATATACACAGGTGTGCTTGGGGCTCATGCAGTTCCACGCTGAACCCATACCTGGCATAATCCCATAGGCACATGCGTGCTTTCCCTCCTGAGAAATCAGCATAGGACCTTGGGTTTCCGGGTGTTGATTTCATGAAGCTTGCTCTATCGACTGAAGGAGAAGACAGTGGGGTGGAAGGAGCGCTGGTGAGAGGTTGGGTGGGGGCTGAGGAGGACTGGCGAGGTAGCTTGTCAAGGCCTTGGACCATCAGTCTGGTTGAAGAGGAGGAACAGGAAGATACAGACTTGGGGCCTAGCATATCATCTTCTAACTTATTCCTCGGGCGGTAATCACACATCCTCCTAAGGCCTCCGCTTGGGCGGCTAACGTGGCAGCATGACAGGTGGCTTTCTAACAACACACAGCATTGTGGGCACATCCAACAGGAGAGACAATGGGTGTGCGAGTCCTTTTGTGCATTGTGGCATCCATCCAAATGTAAGGCAGCGCGATTACCAGTGTTAGTGGGAGGGACGTTATTACCTAGGCTACCTGCCCTGCTGGCTGCCCACTGCAGGAGTCAGGCTGTCTGAGTAACGCGGGCAGGATGGAGCCAGGAGAGAGAGGTGGTTGCTGCTTCTGTTTGAAGCTCTGGGCTAAATTGCAGCCACACTGAGATGGGGCCCGTTGGGGTGGAGGCCACAGAGGATTCCTTAGCTCACTCCTGCTGACAAGTGGCCACCCCACTGATGGCGGCTCCTGTGGGACTGGTTCATCTCACCTCCTGGGCTTACCTGGAAGGGGCTGTCAGTCCAGCAACAATCCAGTGTGCGCCGTCCACCTGCTTTCCACCGTGATGTGTCATTGTGCTTCCGACTTGAGGTGTCTTGGGAGAGGGGTTGCTTTGCTTCCCTTCTCAAAGAAGGTCCCTTCTCTCCACATTGAGATCTTGCTAGAGACACACGGGTGCCTTCTATCCATCTACATCCTGTAGCCTTGGAATGATGGCGGAGATGAGAGTTTAGGAAACGCACGTGGCCAGGGACCTTGCACAAGGCTGGACCGGTCTATAGCTAATCCACTCTAACGACCTCTTATTATCTGGAGAGCAGCGGGGTGAGAGATGTGGCCTTTGAGAGAGGTCTGAGAGTGGGCTTGCCAGCTCTACCACCTCCTTGCCGGGGATCCTGTGCTGTTCTTCACCTCGGCTTCCCCATCTCCAAATGAAGTCTGGACAATCATACTTTCCACTCAGAGCTCTTATGCCCGTTCAGTGAGAAGGCATATGTTGCCAATATGTGGCAAATACCTGGTGCAGGGGGAGGGATCTTTGTAGGAGTGGCCCATAGGAGTGAGTGAGTGAGCCTGAGCTAGCTCTGGCTCTCCTGACTCCTAGCCCAGTGCTCTCCCCCGATTCCATACTGCAATCTCAACAGCAGTTTTCGTGCACTGTGTTTTGGGGGTTCTTGGTTTTCTATTTTTATTCTTGTCTTGACACAACAGTTAAGGTTCCCAGTCAGCACCTCTGACACAACTTGGGTGCCATTTTCATGAACAACCTCAGTATGTCCATATCGCGTGTCCCGGTTCTGCTGATCAACCTCATTCCCGGGCTCCCTCCATTCACCTCTCTGCAGTACAGTCGAACGTTGACTCGCTGGTCTCACGCCAAGCACCGTTCAGTTCATGAGTCAGTTGATTATGTAGCTAAACGGTGACCTCAGCGGCTACTTTCCATTTAGAGTAAAGAGCATCTCAGGGTAGTCGTCTCGGGGAGGCCTCCAGTCTCCACGGGTCCAGTGAGCCCGATGTTTTTCAAGACCTTGAGGATTGTTCCACGTGTTTCCTCCCTTCTCTTGGGATCCATCTCCAGTGGCCTGAGTCGGAATAGTCAGCAGCTGGGCCCCCTTGAGCTGCTTCCCCGTCTCAAAGTAGACGAGGCCATGACTCATGTAGACGCTTTGTTCTGTGGACTTGTTTCTGCGTTCAACGTTTGATTTCTTCTGCTCCTTTTGCTTCGGATGAGGAGAGATCAGGAGTGATAGCTCAGGCTCTTAGCTGGCTGCCCACAAGCTCTGCAGGCCCCTGCCACTGCTCACTAACTAGGATGTACAGCATAAATTTAAGGAACCATAGTATGCCAATTGACCACATTAAAGTTTCTTAATTCTCATAAAAGGGTGAACTCCACGTTGCTCACTATTTCACTCGTACCCCACCGTCTCTTCCAGTGTCTTCTTAAACATTACTGGATGTGCACAGGATGGGCTAGAGTCCCAGCTCATGCTCCTAAACTCATCCTCATGGTGTGCATCCTGCCCTGACACTTAATAGGCGAGTGCCCTGGACACCCCTCACCGCTCCTGTCACCGTGTGTCGTGTTTATGCCGGCACCTTAATTCCATCGTTGATCAAATAGGACTCACGCTGCGTCGCAGAACTGAAGGCTACAAGGGTGGTGACAAGGATGGACTAGTGTTTGCCAGTCTGGAGCTGAAAACCCACTGCCTTCTTCTATGCTTGGGGGTGTGGGGGGCGGTTTCTCGATAGCTGGGAATGAAGCACTCACTAAGCTGGTCTCTGCATACCTTACGTTGAACACTGCCCACCGGAATGGTTTGTCGATCAAATAGTGACCCAGAATCCTTTGCTCAGGGGCCTTTCTTACTCTACTTTTTTTTGGCACCTCCATCTTTGTGGTCATGAGGATGGTGCAGGACGGGGCGGTGTTCCGTTCCGTGGTCCATCCATCGCTAGCTGATGGGCCTGCCTTGAGATGGATGGCACC